TGATCATTATCATCCTCCTCTTCCTCCTCCTCCTCCGCCTCCTCCTCCTCCTCACTCCTCCTCCTCCTCCTCCTCCTCCTCACTCCTCCTCCTCCTCCTCCTCCTCCTCCTCCTCCTCCTCCTCATCCATTCCTCATTCCTCACTCCTCACTCCTCCCTCCTGCCTCCTCCTCCTCCTACTCCTCCCTCGTTGTGTGTGTGTGTGTGTGTCCGTTCAGGTTGGCCGCGCTCGCTGCAGCGCACCCGTGGCGCATCGGTGCTCCGCCTGCCTCCCCCCCTTCCACCGCGCCTCGCAGGTTACCAGATCTCGATGTTCACCTACCCCAGCCGCTGCGTCTCTGCCAGCTCCGCTCTGCTCCCCCATTTTGGTGTGGTCTACTCTGCTTCCAACACGTGACAGGTCAATTTCTCCACCGCAGCCGTTTGCTGCCATTCGCGGTCAGCCCCCATCTGGTTTTACCTTCGCGGGCTGATCTCGCACCAGCAGGTCTGGATGTTCCGTACTTGCCCAATCGTTGGTCTCGCTTCCCCCCTGGGCTCTGCCCGGCCGCCTTCGGGCTGCTTTCCCCCCAGCTGCTGCCTGGCGTCGCGGCTGGCTCCTCCCCCGGCGCCCGCTCCGCCGCTGCTGGGACCTGCCTGAGCGGGCCCGGATTCCTCTCTTCCTGCCTACGCCGGGCGTCCTCTCCTCTTCCACCGTGCACCGCGGCCCAATTTGCACCTAGCGGGCCCCACTGATGCCCGATCGCTGGAGCAGTAACCTCTGCCCAGCCGCCGACGGAAAGAGTGTGTGTGTGTGTGTGTGTCTGTGTATCTGTGTATCTGTGTATCTGTGTATCTGTGTGTCTGTGTGTTGGGGGGGGGCGCTCCTTCTCGACCGACTTCGGCAGGCTGACGCTGAGGGTCTCGAGCAACTCGTTCGCCCTCTGGAGCTGCTTCGAGCTGTGCGGCGCGGCGGCGCGGCCCGGGGCGGGCGACGGCGACCATGGCGACGACTTCGAAGGCCTCTCCAGCGGAGTCCGAGTCAACGGCACCGGCGACCTCTGCAATTCATCGGCGTCGTCGGCTTGGACAAAAGCGAACTCGACCTCGAGCCGCATCGCCGATGCACCAGAGATGCGGCGAGATCCTCCGAGCCCATCTGCTTGGATCCCGCCAGGGAGGCGCGGAGACAACGACGATGTCAGTATCAGTCTGTATCGAATCAGGCGATCGGATCGGATGGGAACGCGCGTCGGATCGCGCCGCAACGTGTCGGCTGCGCCCAGGTGCGCAATTGCGCTGTGCAAACGTCGGAACGCATCGGGTCGTCCCGAAATCGAAACCAAATCGGGTCGGATCTAAATGGGCGAACTCGAGACGTCGAATCGGATTGATCGACATGGGCCCTGCAGGGCCGGAGGAGGGGCAGAGAAAGACAGGGAGAGGGACACAGGGGGAGAGGGACAGGGGAAAGAGAGAGAGAGAGAGAGAAACAGGGGCAGGGAGAGACAGGGAAGGGGGAAGGGGGGGAGAGTCACATGGGGAGAGGGTGAGGGGGAGAGGGCAAGCTAATTAAGTGCGCTGGCGCCTCATCTGACATCTTAACCATCCTTCCCATCCCTTTCCATGGCGCTAAGGTTTCTCTATCCGCGGACGGCGATTCACACAGAAAGACCACTTCGTGTTATATGCCTTCCGAAAAAGAGAGCTGCGTGCACAAGAGGAGGTGGCGGGTGAGCAGGAGGATGAGCGGGAGGAAAATAATGAGGACAAACAGCAACAGTAGGAAATTAAGCAGAAGGATCAGGAGGGAAAGGAGGACTAGGGGAAGGCGGATGAGGGGAGATGAGGGGGGCGACAACGAGAAAGAAAGACTCGGATTCAGAAACATTGCCCGCGCTGGGGCGAGACGAATAGCAGCAGCAAGAACTGGAGCGGAAGGAGCGGGAATTATCCCGGCAAAGCAACCTAACAGCGATGTGTAGGAGCATATCTGGAAGCAGTCCCCTCAACATTCAGATGAGAATACAATTGTAGAATTCTGATGTTCTCGCAGTCGCAGTCGCATTCGCGATGACAGTCGCAGTGGCAACGGCAGTCGCAGTCACAGCCTCAGCCTCAGCCTGCCTCAGCCTCAGCCTGCATCAGCCTCAGCCTGCCTCAGCAGCTCAGCCTCAGCCTGCCTCAGCCTCAGCCTCAGCCTGCTCAGCCTCAGCCTCAGCATCAGCATGCCTTAGCCTCAGCCTCAGCCTCAGCCTCAGCCTGCTTCAGCCTCAGCCTCACAGCCTTTCAGCTCGGCCTCCAGCCTCAGGAGCCGTCAGCTCAGCTCAGCCTGCCTCAGCCTCAGCCTTCAGCCTGCCTCAGCCTCAGCCTGCCTCCTCAGGCCTCAGCCTTCAGGCTCGGCTCCTGCTCAGCCTCAGCCGCACAGCCTTCAGCCTCAAGTCTGCCTCACCTCAGCCTCAGCCTCAGCCTCATGCCCTGCCTCAGCCTCAGCCTGCATCAGCCTCAGCCTCAGCCTCAGCCTGCCTCAGCATCAGCCTGCCTCAGCCTCAGCCTCAGCCTGCCTCTGCCTCAGCTCAGCCTGCTTCAGCCTCAGCCTCAGTCTGCCGTCGGCCTCGGCCTCAGCCTCAGCCTGCCTCAGCCTCAGCCTCCTGCCTCAGCCTCAGCCTCAGCCTCAGCCTCAGCCTGCATCAGCCTCAGCCTCAGCCTCAGCCTGCCTCAGCCTCAGCCTCATCAGCCTCAGCCCAGCCTCAGCATCAGCTCGCCTCAGCCTCAGCCTCTCAGCCTTCAGCCTCAGCCTCGTCTGCCTCACGGCCTCAGCCTCAGCCTGCCTCAGCCTCAGCCTGCCTCAGCCTCAGCCTCAGCCTGCCTCAGCTCAGCCTCAGCCTCAGCCTCAGCCTGCCTCAGCCTCAGCCTGCCTCAGCCTCAGCCTGCTTCAGCCTCAGCCTCAGCCCTGCCTTCAGCCTCGGCCTCAGCCTCAGCCTCAGCCTCAGCCTGCCTCAGCCTCAGCATCAGCCTGCCTCAGCATTCAAAATCATGCCCAGGAATGGAGTTCTGGGAACTCGAAGAACACGAAGTGGCCTACAGTTGGCTCCGGGCATTCAAAATCATGCCCAGGAATGGAGTTCTGGGAATTCGAAGAGCACGAAGTGGCCAATAGTTGGCTCCGGGCATTCAACATCATGCCCAGGAATGGAGTTCTGGGACCTCGAAGACCACGAAGTGGCCTACAGTTGGCTCCGAGCATTCAAAATCATGCCCAGGAATGGAGTTCAAGGAATTCGAAGACCACGAAGTGGCCTACAGTTGGCTCCGGGCATTCGAAAACATGCCCAGGAATGGAGTTCTGGGACCTCGAAGAGCTCGAAGTGTGTAACTGTTTGCTTAAAACGACTTCCGCGGATTCTCCCTGGCACCCGTCCGGCATCTGCCCAGACCCCCCTGAGGAGTCAAGATGCTTTCTTTTGAGACCATTAGAAACCTATCAGTCTTCGCTGTTAGGTAGAAACAGGAAGACCAGGGACGGCGGAGGAGGGGAAATGATGGGGTGGACCACAATGAAGCAAGACTCGGATCCAGAAAAGTGGTCCGCACATGGGCGAGAGCGCCATTCTGAACGACGGGAGCAAAACGCCGATCCGAAATGAGGCCCAAGCTACAACGGGAGCACCACTTTGAAACACCAGAAACAATTGGATTGTAAACAAATCGATGGCACAAAAACCATAAGAAAAATCAATGGTTGAAACCCTGTGTAAAAAAGCGGCACGCGGAAGGGGTGGACGAGATTCTGGACAACCTCAGGAGAGGAGGGAGAGTAGTACTCCGATTGTTTAATTGGACAGGGACAGGGAGAGACAGGGAGAGGGACAAGGAGAGACGGAGAGGGGCGGCTCATTCGCCCTCCGGGGCTGCCTCGATCTGACGCCGTGGGAAGACTGATCAAGCAGAAGAGGCCCGAGCCAGAAGGAGGGGCCACGAAGAGGCACGAAAGGAGAACGGGGAGGCGGGAGGGAAGGGCGGACGGACGCACAGAAGATACCAAACGACGGCGACATCCGCGACGACGACGCCGGCGGGGGCGGCGGCGAGGACGACGATGACGACGACAATGACGACCTCGTCGTCGTCGCCCTCCTCCTCCTCCTCCTGTTCCTCCTCCTCCTCCTCCTCCTTCACCTCCTTCACCTCCAGTACATCGGTTTCTCACATTGGTTTTTGGGATTCGGCAGTGGAAGTGTCCTCCGCGCTGAAGAAAACTGCTCGTGCACTGTCTGGCGACATTGCTCACGCTTCTGGTTATTTCGCTGAAATGGGATCTGAAGAAGTTCTTTGATTCGGCGAGCCCTGGTAAATTGATCCACTTGGCCTCCAGTAGAAGCTACCCTGGGCACCTGCTGCGCTTGGGGCTCCTTCTTCAGACCTCTTCTAGTCTCTTGAAGTGTCTGGGTCTCTGCCGAAGGTAGTGGAAGCTGAGGAATCGATCTTGGCGGGGTGCAATCAAAGTATCTCCTGGTTCAGAAATTACCTGAATGCTTTCTTGGAGAAGGCTCACAATAGGATCCCTAGAGGAGGTGGCCATGTTCCCTTCAGGTCATACGTTGATGGCATCACTCACTTCATTTACGACACGCCTACCTTCACAGGTCGTTATCTTCCTCTTGTGGTCTCGCTGCTCTGGGCTGCGTGGTTAGCCCCAAGTCTCTTGCAATTGTCTCTTCGTTGGAGCTGCAGCGGCTCCTTCAGTTTGAATCGCGCAAGCATGGTGTATACATGATTTTCGCGCCGAGTGTGAAGGATCTCGGTGCTATCACTACAGAGCAAAAGGAGGAAATCGACCTGTAAGGTACAATAACATCGTGCTGATGCTTTTCGCACCTCTCGCAAACTCTCATGCTTGGCTGACATACGCGGTGTTTCCTGGAAAATGTTCAAGCCAAGCGTCCTGGCCGTGGGATCATGGGGACACAATGTGCTGGGCCTCGTTCGTCCCGAGAAATCAATCGCTGCGGCCTGTTCGGGAGTCTGGTCCTCGGGAGCCTGTACCACGTCCTTCCCCTGGGCCTTGCACGGCACCAACGATGACCCTATCTTTGGGTTGAAGGTTGAGCAGCTTACCTTGGTTTTCAAAGCTTGGGCTTGCCTGTCTGAGGGATTTCGTGAGGCAGTGGAAAAGGTTCGGGGTGGTTTGCATGATCCTCTCCTCCCTGCCCCTCCTCAGCATTGTTGGCGGAGGGTTCGGGCTCCTGTGGCTGCTCTGTGTGCTACTATCCTACACCGAGGTGGGGAACCTCGCCAGGTTGACGCGTGGTTGGTTCCAGGTTGTGGGTTGTGATCCCCTGAGCCCCGCTGCTGTTGATTGTCGCTACCATCTCACCTCTTGTGTGCCCGAGTGCTGCTCTGCTTCTGTCTGCGCTGCCGCTGGGCAGCACTACTGTGCTCAAGGCCTCTCCCGCGGTGCTGATTTCACTGTCTCCAAGGCCAATCGTACGAAGTTTCTAGACGACGGCGACTTCAAAGGAGCAGCATCGTTGTGCACCATTGATGGTGGAGCCTGCTGGTCAGAGTCGCTCGCAGGAGACGTGGTGCCTCAATGCTGGTACATGTGTGTTCAGTGTGGAGATGCCCACACAACTTTCGGTTGCCCGACCCTGCCTCTGCTTGTAATGAATAGCTGGCTCATGGGACTATCGCCGCCGACCCCGTGAGCGCCTTTTTCACTCGTGGGCGTCCGTCTCTTGAGGCCAGCTGTGGGTACCTTCCTCCTCCTCAGGAAATTCTCTGGGCTTGGGGTCCTCTTCGTGTTCAGCGAACTTCGGGAGGTATGCGGGGCCTAGACGGCTCAGGAAACATGTATGCGGCCACCAAGAGGTTGTGAATACGTGGGTGGTCTGTGCTGCGTCCTTGGAGACCAGATGATATCCTTCTTCAGTTGGACTGTGTGATGTGTGGTACCCTTCCTACGATTAAGCGATCAAGTCCATGGGCCGAGCCGCATGCGTTCCTCATGGTGATCCCTCACGCATATGATTATGTCTTGTGTTATTGCGATTACTTGCCACTGGTCAGGGCACTTCGGATAGTCGCCAACAGTTCGATGTTCGATCTGTGGTCTCGGATCTGTTCGGTCCTCGATCGTCATGAAAGTCGGGCCGAGGTCCTGCACGGGGCCACGTGCGAAGCCTACCCCTAACCCCCACGATTTCTGAGGGGGAGGGTGGGGTTCACTTCGTTCGGGAACTCCACAGAAATCGTGGGGGGTAGGGGTAGGGTTCGCATGTGGCCCCCTATCCTGTGGACCGCGAGTCTGTCGGCGGCCCATCAGCGGGCCCAACGCGCCACAGGAAATGGGAAGGTTTGGTTTGAGCGCGTGGAGTGGTCATGTTGCGGGCTGGGCGGCTCACAGACGTCGCGCGCCTCTCAAACAACATGACTTGACGGGGCAGATCGACCGCCTCACCTCCGCGACCCTGGATCGGTTGCTCGCTGTGCACAAGGAAGCTGTCCAAGCTCACCCCCGTCGTGCTTCCGACAGGGCCCGGCCGCCCGCCTCCCCGACCCCTTCTTCACCCGTGAGAGGTGAACAGTTCGGAAGCTGGCCATGCGCTTGTGAAGTGCGGTGGTGCTCTCGAGTGCCAGATCTGTGGTCGTAGCAGTTCTCGCTGCGAGGTCCAAGTCGCTCCTCCTGCCCTGAACCTTGTCTCGGGTCTGGGCCCCTTGCTCTTGATCCCCTCAGGCGCCCCTCGTATCCTGAGGGTTGTGTCATTCATAGGCTTCAAGTGCTCAGAAAGGGCCATGTACTGTGACAGGTGTGGCGTTTATGCCATCGTCAATGCATATCGAGTCTTGCTCGTATTTGTACGACCATCGACAAGCCTTACATGGGATAACCGAACGCCGTCGGCCCTCTCCGAACATTGTTTCTACACGCGACACGTTAAGCGTGCCAATGTGTCGTTTCCATCGTATGCTCTACAACCCGATGTGTCCCGGAAAGGGCTGGGGCCGAAGATCCGTGCGTACTTGGTAAGCTGCCCCAGAAACCATGTTCGGGAAGGGCCGCCCGAGTTACCTGTTATGAATCACGTGATCGGGATGAGCAGGCGGAATCAAGTCGTGAGGCTGTCTCGAGCAGGAGCCTCACTCTGGAGAACAAGCGAGGGGATGTCTGGAGCAGGAGCCTCGCTTCGATTGTTGAGGATGTCTCGAGCGACACGCTCGCTCTGCAGAATGTGTTGAGGATGGCTTCTGAATGCAAAAACTTATTTTTTGAATTCCAAACACTGGTTTTTGAATGAAAAAACCAATGTTGTCTTTTTCAATTCAAGAGCTCAAGCGAAAATATTGCTTTCAAGTGGCCAAGACACCCTGGGGAGACCTCTGCGCCCTAGCGCCCTAGCGTGATATCGGAGGACGGCCCCATCATAATTTACGAAGGGTTGTGGCCAAAGGAGCGCGGGCCCAGTACAATGTGCAAAAGAACTTGGGAATGGTGTCGCGTTGTCTGTTTTTCTCCCGTGGGCCAAAACAATGTGTTTGTACGTGGGTCCTTTCCGTTTCTGTGATCGACTGTGTTTTTGTATGGGTCCCGCTCGCCCGTGAGCCAAACCAAGCCGTGTCTTGATGGTAACTCTCCACCAGCGCCCTAGAACCATGTGTTTTCTCATGGGCCCGTTTCGTCTGTGTGCTCAAAACACACGAGTTTACATGATGTGTTTTCGCCCGTGAGCCAACACCATGTCTTTACATGCGTTCCCTTCGCCCGTGAGATGGAGCCATGTGTTTTCACCTTGGCTCGTTTCACCTTTGAACTGAAATTGTGTTATTACAGTGGCTCCTGTCGCCCGTGAACCAACACAGAATATGTGTGCATGCTTTCCTTTCGCCCGTGAGCCCAAACCGATGTTTTGTTAAATGGGTTTCCTCCGCGATTGGGCAACAGTCTGAAGATGTCTCACACGAGGGCTTCATTCGTGAGAGAATTACGGGACGTCTCGGACGGGCCCCGACGTCCTGTGGATACAAGCCACAGGAGGAGGAGGAGGAGGAGGAGGAGGAGGAGGAGGAGACCGACATAACAGAACAGACAAGAACGACTCCAGGGGGCCGAGGCCGATGACACACTCGGAACAAAAAAAATGCCCCTTCATGGCCTGCAAAAGCAACTTCATCCTGTAACCAACCTGTACAGGCACGAAGGGAGCGCACGGGCGTGATGCAATATCAGCCAGCCTATCCAAGGAAGAAGGCTGCAACCGATTGTAAGACCCAACACTCACTGGTATGGACGCCATGCAAGATGTGCAAGTGAGCCACCAGAAACTGGACAACCTCAACAACACGTATGTGACATGAAGTGGTAGCTTGACCGTTAGTGTGGACGGTCGGCCAGGCCGCATCCTGCCGAAGCCGAAGTGGCTCAGGAGGAGAAAGAACAAGAAGACGAAGGGGACGTCTCAGACTAACCGCTTGCTTTGTAGATGCTCGGGATGTCTCAAGGAAAACGCTTGTCTACATAATCAATTGAGCATGTCTCGGGCGAAACGCTTGCCTGGCAAAGCAGGAAGAACCTGTACGCCCCAGGATGCTCCAGGAGGCTGTGAAAGCGGACCTATCGGCTCCTCTTAACTACCGAATGACGAGGAGGAGGAGGAGGATGAGGAGGAGGAGGAGGAGGAGGAGGAGGAGGAGGAGGAGGAGGGAGAGGAGGATTAGGAGGAGGAGGAGGAGCATGAGGAGGAGGAGGAGGAGGAGCATGAGGAGGAGGAGGAGGAGGAGGAGCATGAGGAGGAGGAGGAAGACGAGGAGGAAGAGGAGGAGCTGCGGTGGACTGAAGGAGGAAGAGGAGGAGGAGGAGGAGGAGGAAGTACAGTACAGCTCAACACAACAAGATGTGAAACAGTCCAGGACAGCAGGGATCAACCGCAAGTTTCGACTGGAGCCCGCCCCCGGGGGGGGGGGGGGGCGAACATCCTTGGCATCTTGGGAGGGTGCTGTCCCTCGGACTGCAGCTCCTTGGGCAGCAGACGCCAAATGGTTTCGGGAGGGTGAACTGGAACGTATTCGGTTCGTTCCAGTCTCGGTTCGGTTTGCCTCGGTTCGAATAGGGTCGGCCGTCTCAATTCGTCGCGCCTCGGCTCGCCGCGTTTCGATCCGTTCATTATCGGTATGTTCCGCTTCGGCTCTGATTCGCCACCGATTGGTTCGTCCCGCTTCAGAGCTGAATCAGGGATTGAGCTTGAGCTGGTTGAGCGCCCCGCACAGTTGAATTGCCACCAGCTCTGGGCAAGCTATGCCTTCAGGTAGCCCGAGCTTACGATCCAGATCAATTCGGTCAGGGTCCGGATGCCAAGAACGACTTGATCCACAAAGCAAACACAGTTTAACTCGGCATGACAGAGGTCAACGCATCACAACACAACACAACACAGCCCCTGGCACGGTACACCACCATCGATACCTTCGACATCACAACTGCCAATCGCCCAGGTAGGTACCTTGAAACGTGCCCACGCCTCTCGATTTCAATATTCCTGCCTGGATTCTTGGGTCGATCAAGTTCCCTGGTCTGTGCTGCAGTCCGAGTGTGTTGTTCAACGTGTTGTTCCCGCTGCAGCGTTAGCCTAATGTTCGGATCGGCGCGCTGATCCCGTCTGTTCTTCCTCGTCGTAGTCGCCCCCATCCTGCCCCCTCCTCCGAATGCCCCTAGTCCTCCTGCTCATCTCGCTCCTTCCACTCGAGCTCCCGCTGCTGGTTTCGTCCTCCTCCTCCTTCCTCCTCCTCCTTTTCCTCCTGCTCATCCGCCTGTTTGTCCTCCTCCTCCTCTTCCTCCTCTTCCTCCACTTCCATCTCCTCCTCCACCTCCTCCTCCACCTCCTCCATCACCTCCTCCTCCTTCTCTTCGACACTCCTCTTCCTCCTCTTCCTCCACCTCCATCTCCTCCTCCTCCTCCTCCTCCACCTCCTCCTCCTTCTCCTCGACACTCCTCTTCCTCCTCCTCCTCTCCTCCTCCTCCTCCTCCTCCTCCTCTCCTCCCCCTCCCCCCCTCCCCTCCTCCTCCTCCTCCTCCTCCTCCTCCTCCTCCTCCTCCTCCTCCTCCTCCTCCTATGTACGCAGCTCCCATGTTCCGATTGCGCATCACACGAAGGAGTCTGTTTTTGAGTTTCAGGTCCGCCATAACACGCGCCTGCGGATAGAGAGAGAAAAAAAAAAAACGCAATGGGACTGGATGGTATGGCACGAGCGCAACTAGCTTGCCTCGCTCCCCTCTCCTCTTTCCCTCACTCATCATCCTCTCACTCCCCCCTTCCCCCACCCTATTCGTCGTGAGTTTTCGCCCTCGTCCTCGCCCTCCTCCGCGCTCACTCGCCCACGGGGGCGGGCGAACAACCAGAAACGCGGGCGGGGCGGCCCGTCCTGCTGTCCGCGCTGTCTGGGCACAGCACCAGCACCTCGCAGCCCTCCAGCGCCGACGCCGCGCCTTCCGCCCGCTCCAGGTCCACGAACAGGGGCTCCGCGCCTGCTGCGCGCCGCTGCGCGACGGGCGGGTGCGAGGCTGAGGTTCTTCCAGAACCACCGCCGGGGGGATCGATCGTCACAAAAAACAAAAAGCAGGAATCAAAGAACAAACAACAACCTTGTTTTTTGTGTGAAAACGCGTTGTTGTTTTGGGGGTTTCTGGCTTCTTGTTGTTTGTGACAGCCGGAGCACTTTGTGACAACCAGTGCTTTTTTTTGTGACAAGCGGGGGCTTCGGCAAGCGGCCGGTATGCATACACGTGCGGGCCGAAGGGGGGAAGGGGGGGGGGCATACGTGTCCGTGCCCCTTGCGCGCCAAGGTCCCCGAAGATCGATATCCCGGGCGGTGGTTCTGGAGGAGTCCCCGTCTCAGAACAGTCAGGGGCCCCGGCGGGGGGGGGGAGCAGGGCGTCGACTCCCCAGAGCACCAGCGATCTGATGTTTTTGTCCTGGCGGTTTGTCCTCGGTACCGGCCCCTGGTGCCCGTTACCGGGCCCCGCGGCCATACAACAACGGGTGCATGCGAAGAACTACCCCAGGGGCTGTGGTCGCGGCCTCTGGGGCCGCGCAGTGGAAAAACCACACCGTCGGATGCCTGGGTCCGTCGTAGCGAAGGGTGGTTACCATGCATGCACACTGCGACTGGAGACTAGATGGTCACACCGTCGACGAAACAGCGACGACAGACGAAGGCCCGCCTCGTAAGGCTTCCCCCTAGCCCACCAGCTGGGGCTACTCGAAGACCCGCTGAGGCCAGTGAGGGCTGGCTGGCGGGGCCGCCTGTGCACAACCCGAGCCTCTCCAGACCCGACCTCGAGCGCCGGCCAGTCAGGGCTGTCAGAGGACCCGAGCCTCTCCAGACCTGTTGAGGCCAGTTTTCCTCCCCCCTCCTCCTCCTCCTCCTCGTCCTCAGTCCTCCTCCCCTCCTCCTCCTCCCTTCCTCCTCCTCCTCCTCCTCCTTGATTATCCTCCTCCTCCTCCTCCTCCTCCTCCTCCTCCTCCTCCTCCTCCTGGAGGGCCCGCCTGGTCCGACCTCGAGCGTCGCCTTCGTCGCCCCCCGACGGACGGCACCACGCCAACCAAGGGGCCGGGCGGAGCCTCGCCGCGGCCTGCGAGCGGCGTCCCTCCGCCGGCTTCCAATTGTCAGTGGCTTCCTGACGGCCCAGAGGCCCTGGCAAAGCCCCGTGAGGCCGAGCAAGGCGGAAAACATCGGGACTCTCGAGACCCTTTCTTCACGACGCCCTTCTCTTTTCCCTCCCCTGCCCAACCTGCCGCAGGCTTGGGCAACCCCCGCCCGCACTCGTAGGAGGCGGGGGTTTGTTCGTAACTACCACCTGCGGGACCGATCTGCAGGGACCTCGGCAGGCGGTGGATTGGCCCCTCCAGGGCCCGAATCTATACACATCCACCTCCCACACAGGGTCGCACAGATAGACCATCAGGCGGAGGTCAGGGATGAATCTCCGCCTCGGTTCTCGGTCGGGCGCACGCCGACATGGATTAGGGGTCCGTGGATGTGGCGCGTGGGCCCCAGATCCGCAGCTCGTGGAACGTATCCTCCGAAGCATGGCGCCAGTGCCGCCCGACTTGGCGACGAACGGCATGCGCGCCGCTTCGGTCCGGAAGCTCGGGCCCGTCGCCGATCCACGCGCCTTCTTCCAGATTCTCGCTTCTTCGACTCGCTGGGTGGGGGAGGGCTTCCCCGACCGCGGTCCCTGGGGGGCGCATGGACATTCTAATGCTGTATGTCCGCCTTGGAGGCGTGCACCCGACCCGAACATGTAGCATACCCATCTTGTAGCATATGGTAAAAGTTTGTTGGGGTGACACTGGTCCACGCGCCTTCTTCCACGCGCCCTCTTCCATGTTTTCGTTCAGGTGCCGCTGCTCGGCGCTGCCCGCCGGCCACGGGAGCGCCGCGTCGCCGGCGCTGCCAGCGCCGTTCGGGAGCCGGCGCCAGGCGTTTTCAAACGGCGCCGGCGCGACGCTACCAGTTGTGGTCATAACTCGGCTCTCTGGCGGCCGTTCGGGACGATCTGGGCACCCCCAGAACGGCCTCGGCGAGGCGCAGCTGCTGGAACGCGTCCCGGGGCTGGGCAACCGCCGAGAGCCGACGAGAGCACGCGAAAGTATCGAGAACGAGGCGTGACGCTGCCAGTTGTTGGGGGGTCCTCCTCCTCCTCCTCCTCCTCCTCCTCCTCCTCCTCCTCCTCCTTCTCCTCCCCGACCGCGGCCCCTCAAGCAGTTCAGGTTCGAGGGTGGGAAGCCCCACCTAGAGCCGCTCGCCTGTGTCTCCACGGGGTGCTTGGGGGACCACGCCCAGAGAGCTCCAGCTGAGTTCTCACTGGCGTTGTCAACGCCAGTCAATGACTAAAGCAGGGAGTCTAGTTTCAGGCGCCATGGCCGCCGCCAACGGTCGAGGTGCATATTCGCAGTGCAAGGGTTGTCACAAGTTTGAGTGAAACGATCGGCTCATGTTCAACGGGTCGTGCTGCTTCCATTGCAATCGCAAGGTCCGTCTGTTCGTGCCGAAGACCTCGGTGAGCGGCAAGGGCAGACAGGCCGACCAGTCGACGCCCAAGAAGGACGTCAAGGAGGACAGTTTGGATCAGTTGTTGCAGCAGGTGGCCGCGAAGACGGAGTCGGCCGCACTCAAGTCCATGGTCTCGGCCGAGCTGGCCAAGCTCCAGGCGACGGGCACCTCTGAGGTCATTGTCTCTGGCATGGAGGCCGAGGCGGTCAGGCGTGCCACTGGAGCGTGGCGCGATGCAGATCATAAACATTCGCAAGCTGTCGCTGCCGTGGTCAGACTCCAGGACAACTTAGCGACGGCGGTCGAGAAGGAGGTCCAGGCTGCCAAGATCCTGGCGCAGGCGGAGAAGGCGAAGAGGGCTGCCACCGAGGCGCTAGCGCGCGCGGAGGGCATCTCGTCCGCCTCGTCCGCCACGGACTCAGCAGCAGGGGGCGTCACGCAGCCGAAGCTCAAGGTTACATGAAATGAGGAGCTATTCAAAGGGATCGAGGAGTTGGAGCGCGAGGGTGCCGAGAGGACAGACTTCAGGAGCTTCAGAGCACCTTGCGCGCCAAGGAGGCCGACATCCAGGTTATGCTGGGCAAGGCCGCCGCGGTGCGCAAGGAGGTGGACGACCGCTTGGCCAAGAAGAGGAAGAAGTCGGTCAAGGAGCAGACGGCGCCTGAAGGCGGCAGCGGCGGAGTTGGCGCTGGCGTTGTCAGCGGCACCACTCCCGACGCCGCCCCGACGGCGATGGAGGCCGAGCCCACCAGTGCTGCTGAGGCCGCGGTCCTCGTCGAGGCCGAGCATAAGGAGAAGCAGCGCCTCGACCAGGTCGCGGCCAGGCTGTCGGCGGCGAACTTCGCGGCCCAGCGCGCCGAACTCAACGAGTAGAAGGCAGCGGTGGGCAAGTCCATGGGCAAAGGCAAGGGCAACGGCAGCAACGTGGGCAAGAGCACCACGGCGGCTGACGAGAGCCCCGCCACCGACGACGCCGACGACATTCCCTACCTAGGCTCTGCCTAGAGGGTTCTTACTCTCTTTCTTAAAGGGGCCGGGCAATGGAAACCGCCCCGGGCAGTTCCCCCGGTATCCGCCCCGCGGTTCCCCCAGTTACGTCCCCTTAGCTTAGCGTTACGTATCTCATCTTAGCTTAGCTTATTTCATCTTAACTTAGCTTAGCTTTACCTTAGCTCAGATTTATATTAGCTTAGCTTACCTTCATCTTAGCTTCGCTGAGCTTTAGCATAGCAGAGCACAGCATTAACATGAGTGAAATTCCCTACCTAGGCTCTGCCTAGAGGGTTAGCTTAGTTTAGCTTAGCTTAGCGTAGCTTTGCATAGCGCAGCGCTGCATTAGCATAGCATAGCATATCATACCATAGCCAAGCATAGCATAGCATAGCATAGCATTAGCATAGCATAGCGCAGCGTGCAGCATAGCATAGCATAGCATAGCATAGCATAGCATAGCATAGCATAGCATACCATAGCGCAGCTTAGCATAGCAGAGCACAGCATAGCATAGCGCAGCATAGCACAGCGCAGCATGACATAGCATAGCTTAGCATAGCTTAGCATAGCATAGCATAGCGCAGCATAGCATAGCATTAGCATAGCGCAGCATAGCATGGCATAGCATAGCAACTAATGCTGCTTTCCTAGGGGCTCCAACTTCTAGGTAGGGTCGCACTGGGGTAATTTGACTAGGCCCAGTAGGGGTCAGTGGGAGCAGCCACCATGGAGCTGCTCGGCCTGATCGTGAGGATCAGGAGGGGAGGACGTCGTGCTCATTCTTTTTCTCGAATGTCACCATGATGTCTCACACAGCATGGGGTTGCATCAGGAAGTCGAACCACGATTTCTACGGTATTTGCGAGACGCACGTTGTGGAATCCCAGCTTCAACCTTAGGATACGAAGGCCAGAGGGGGTGGTCTTCATTTGCTTGCCAATCATGCGAAATCGAAGCAGAGCCAGAAGCGAGTCAGTGCAGCCATGGTACATCGTGCATGCGAAGGTGGCGAATGGTTTCTTGCACGGCAGCATCTACAGGTGCAGAATGTGTTCACCAAGTCCACGGCCATGAAGCTGAGGGCGCCAGGTCAGTCGGCGCTCGACGGGTTTCTGGCAACCATCGCCCACACGCAGGGCTACAGCGTCATCATTGTCATTTTTACGGCCACCCCAGCATGCAGTTCAGCGGCAACAACGCTGGCCGCTTCCAGAGGCTGGATGCCATGCTCACTTATTTTCAATTGCCCCGGGTAGTCATAGGCGACTGGAACGCCAAGTCGTCCATCATGCGTCGCTCACGTTCTTTGGCCGCGTGCTCGGAGAGCCGTGTCTAGTGGAGGCCGACAACCTTGCCGTCACCTGCGACGCGGGCACCTCGGGTTCCGTCGTCGATTTTTTGATTTGCTCCAAGTCGGCCAGGAGCTACATTATTTCAGTCACAGGCGTGCTATCAGTTCCATGGGAGCCTCATGCAGGGTTGCAGGTCAAGTTGCGCTCGTCAGGAGCGCAGCTTCTCACGAGGCTCCTCGAGGTGGCGCGCCCCTTGCCGCTGGCAGCTAGACCTTTGCCGGCACCTTGCCCAAGATCGAAATCCAGCCTGGCTCGGCAGGAAAAAGCGGAACAAAAATAAGCTCAGATGAAGTTGGCTCGCAAACGGTGTTTTGATGAGTACTTCGGAGATCTAGATATAGTAGATATCAGAAGCGATGATGCTGGTCACAGCGTGGGGAGCTCGGAGGACGTTGACGAGGAGCCCGGCAGGGACCCCTGGGAGCATCTCGAGCCCAACCACGTCGAGGACCCTTTCCAGGACAAGGAGGACCCTTGGGCTCACGAGACGGAGATCGTCGCCGCCAATCGTCCACCTTCTGGGGTTCATGAGGCCCACGCGTATGCCCAGATGAATCATTCGGGGAATTCAGGGAAGGTCGAACCCGCGTTTAGCTGTGAGTTGAGCTCTTGCGTCCTCTCGGGTGGGACGCGTGCTAAAGACGAGGGTTTCGATCTCCCTGGCCGTTTTGGTTTTTTAAGTCCCTTGCCCCCCCCCCGTTTCGGCGACCCCAGCAAGCCTCGAGAGTGAAGCTAGCAGTGAGTCACCAGTTGCCTTTCAATGAGCTCTGGAACAAGTGTCGTGCAGAAGTGGGGTTCACTCCTGCCATTCAGTGCGCTCCCCGCTCCGCTGTCCTCACCTCCGTAGCCTTTCGGCTCATGAATCAGGGCACAGCTCAGACAGTCAGCTCTCTGCATTCTTCATGGGTGCGATGTGTGGAAACCTCACTGCAGGAGCACCGCGCTTGTCAGCACACATCTGGGATCAGATGCAGCATTGGACCCAGTTTCAAAGAGAGCGTTGTTCACCATTATGTAAAACATCTCGCAGCAGCATCGCGTGACCTGATAGCAGGATGGCGGGCCAGAGTACACGCGCTACTTTACAGCCTGGGACCGCACTCCAAGCGCCAGAACGGGCACAAACAGCGAGAGTATCTGTTTGCAGCAATAGGAGAAGTTACATCAGATTGCCCAGAGCAGGCGCGCACATGGTTGCGAGTGCGACGGCAGGCAAGCGGGGGTCCTTCGTGGAGGCGCTGGCAGATTTTCTTCAAGAGGATCAAGCTGGCGGACAAAAGTGAGATCGACAATTTTGCTGAGAGCGCGGGGAAAGTGGCTAGTCGGTGTCCACGGCGAGCGGTCGCACCTTCTCTTCGTGAGTTTGGCGAAGGGATGGAGACTGCCCCAGCACTGGGCAAGCTCCACGAGGGTATCAAGGACGGCCCGCTGGTGGCGCTGGAGGTGGAGCTGGAGGACACCGCTTTGATTCACCCCAGGGACATCATCGATCACCAGGCGGGCAAGTGGCGCAAGTTGTGGTGTCCTACTCGAGGGGATGCCGATGAGGTGCGTGAGTGTTCTCGGTAGGCCAAGGAAAGGGCTCAGATATCTCAGATATCACGGGAGATCTTACCAGATATCAAGGGAGAGATGGTGCGCGCTGCAGCGCATCGCATGCGCCCTCGGGTTGGGATGCGACCCGATCAGATGTCACCGATTGACTTTGAGAGGCTACCGCCAGCAGCCTTGGAGGAGTTGGCGCAGCTGTACGTACATGGTGTGCGAGGAGCAGGTCGTCTGGCCCCGCCAGGGGCTGGTCGTGCTCAGCAGGCTCCTGCCGGAGAAGGGCGGGGGCGATCGCATCGTAGGCTTGCACGCGATGTTCGCCAGAGTCCAGTCGCTCATCCGCGAGCCTGTGGTGGGCGACTGGAGCGAGGCGACGGCGGCCCACCACAGGCTAAACTCAAACGACAGCATTCAGTGGCAGGTTTTGCTACCGTCGGGTCTCATGTTGGGCTTTCAAGCAGCTGTGCTTTGTTTGGAAACGCTCCAGCGTATGTCAGTGCGCGCGTTGGGGCAGAGAGGTGCTTGGACGTTGCCGCTAATTCCCACTCAATCTATTGTGTAAGGGCTGAGACCAGGGACCGCTTTGCCCGTATAGTTGCGTGCTACACTCCCCAGAAGATATGCACGGCCCATCTAAGGATGGGCCACAGGATTAGTGTAGATGATCTTTCGCAGAGGGTGGTTGGTTCACGAACATCAGTGGTGCACGATTTAGTCCGATGTTTGCGTGGCGCGCGTTGTGGCCTGGCTCGGCTTCGGTTGCGTGTTGCGCAGAAGAGTGTGGTGCTATGCTCGGTATTCAAGGACGCAGTCAAAGTTTCACGAGCATTACGGCGAGCAGGGTTTTTTTTGCCAAAGTGCAGCGTACGGCAGCATACCTTGGTTCTGATTTGGGCAACGGCAGGGCGCATGCGAGGTCGATTCGTCGCGCTCGGTTTCAGGGGTATAGGATGCAAGATCAGGTCAGGAGGTACAAGGCAGCGGGACGGCGGACTCGAGTCACATCTAAGCTGGGGAGGCTCGGGGCTCAGGCAGCAGGGTCCTACGCCTACCAGATCCGTGGCGTCTTTGGCATGCAGCTCGCGGCCTATCGTCGCAGGATGGGGGCAGCAGTGGGGTCGACGGCTCGAGGGGGATGTCTCGCGACGCTCATCGGGCTGAATGCTCCAGAGGACACAGCGTTGCGCATGCCTGAGGAGTGCGCACGTACCTGGTTCCGCATATGGCAGCAGGAGCCATCATTACGAGCTGGAGTGCACGCCGCGTGGGCAGCGGCGCCGTGGTCGCCCACCTCAAGGGGGTCGTGCCGACTCATCGCTCACGTCATATCAGAGGGCCACCGTCGGCGATTGTGACATTGTTGCTGGACAACGGTTGGGGCCCTCAGTCTGCGACCTGCTGGGCAATGCCGCCCACAGAGACTGGGGAGATCATCGAGTGGCAATTTCCCCGGCGCGGTCTGGTCGGGGTTCGTTGACGTCGATGCGCCCACAGGCTTGGCGCGCGATTTGAGGACATCCATTTCGGCCAGGTTGTGGCAGAAGGCCAGCGAGCACTTCTGCGGCACAGGCGTCGAGCACGGCGTGGACATGATGTCGCTGCGCAGGCTCTACCAGCAGTTCGAGAGCATGCCGAAGGGCAACCGCATGGCGGAGGTGCTCGGCATGGTGGTCACTGGGGGCAGCTGGCCAAGGGTTCGGCGCGTCGACGCCGCGGGGGCTAAGGCGCTTGGGCTATCGCGCCTATGCCCGAGGTGTGGCGAGCAGGACGAAACCATGTTTCACAGGGTTTGGAGCTGCTCCAAGAACGTGGGGTCGCTGGCTTACGAGCGTTCGCAGAGCCTCCTGCCCCGGGCGTTCAGCAGGCACGGGAGTGAGGGGTGATTCTGGTTGCGGGGGTTGTTGTCTGCTCCATGGACAGCAGTGACCCCGCCGCTGGAGCAGGAGGAATGGCATGTGTCGGGCGTCGCGGCGAGCAGCTCGGAGGGCATCACCTTCGGCGTCGGCACCAGACGGGCCCCGCTGTGGCTGTTCGCCAACGCGAGCGGCGGCGCCGACTCTGCCGACGCCCGTTTCAAGCGGGTTGGCCTGGCGGTTGTCTGCGTTGCCACCTTCGACCCGTTCGCGATTGCTGGAACCGTGTCGGGGGGCCTCCCAAGCGCGCGGCAGAGCGTGCCGCGGGGGGAGCTGTATGCGCTGCTCATCGCGATTCAGATGTCCAGTGGATTTGTGTAGTTTGTCACCGGCAACAGTGGCGTTGCCGACGGATGGTGCGTTCGCAGGATTGTTTCACCAGTTGGCGAGGACGCCGACCTGTGGCACAGGATTGGGGTCGCAGTCGCAGCCAGACGCGACTCCGAGTTTGTTGTGCTGTTGGTCAACTCACACAGGTCACCGCAGCAGGTGGTGGCAGGCAAGGCGCCATGGCAGCTCGTCCAAGGCAACACAGCCGTGGACCTCGTCGCAGGTGCTGCTGCCAAAAGATGTTTACCATATCAGGCTGCGCATGATTCGTGCCACAATCGATTCCTTGGATGCCGAGAGCTTGTTGATTCGTGAAAGTGGCTTGCCGAAGAGAAGAAAGGTTCCGTGCGAGGTGCCGCCACCTCCAGCACCTTGGGTTTGCCGCCAGTTTGCAACCAATCACTCGCTCGATGACTCTGGCAAACGTTGTAAAGTGTGATGTACTTCTGCTACATTAGCCACCAAGTCCGAATGGATTTCGTCCTCGTGTGTTATCCCTGCCTTTGTGGATGGCCGTTTTGCCGCGTTGCCGTCGGGGGCTAAATTGCATGTAGGGGGGGCTGGGTCCACAGTAGTCACTCTATGCGTTTGCATCGTTCCATGGGCTTCTGGCTTTGCTCACAGTGCGGGTATCATGCCAGTCGTGTCATCAGATGTTTCGGGCAGGTCTGTCTCAGGCGTACGAATACGAACCGAGCTGTTTATTCGAATCGGATCGAGCCCGATCGTTGGCCGAAGGCTCTAGGGAAAGCCGAGAAGCTCGCTCGCAAGCGTCCGTCGGCGTCGTTTCGACTCGCACCGCGACTGTTCTCGCTCACTCACTCCCCGACCGCGGCCCCCTCGTCCGCGCCCGCCGCCCGCGCAGCCGCGCCAGCTCGCGCGGGCGCCCGAGGAGGGAGGGCCTTGCGCCCATCGTGGGGTGCCGCGCCTCCCCGCAGGCGAGCGGGCCCGCGCTTGCGAGGAGGCAGGCCGCGCGCGAGCACGGGCGAGGCCTCGGAGCCGGGTGCTGCTCGAAGTGCCCCTGGCCCAACGGTGCCCCCAGCTTTCCGCTGCATCCTGGAGCCCCTGGGGCCCTCTGGACCTCACGATGGGGTGCTCTGGAGGCCGCTGGAGCCTCCCTGGAGCTCCTGTGGGCACCCGGGGCCAGGGGCACTTCTAGCAACACCCGAGGGGCGTGGGGCAGGAGCGAAGACGGGGGCGGTCCACCGTTGTCGACAGACCTGCCTGCAGCCGCGGCCCCGCGGGCCGGGCTACTGAGCCGCGACACAGCGGAAGTGGGGCCTCTTGTCGCGGATGCCCCGGGCGGAACGTTCCCGTGCGACCGCGCCGAAGCGGAACGGCACTCCCCACCTAAACATTTCCTTCGGGTGGAGGGTTCAGGGTGAAATCCAGATAGGCTCGCGCACCTTGAAAATCAATCCCTCTTGTGATTCACCTTTTGCAGGTTCAATCCTCGAAAATCCATCGAAACGGCATTTCAGATTTCGCCCTTTGCCCTCCACCCAGAGAAAATGCTCGGCCTGCCCCCCGCGCCTCGGATGACGGCGCCCTCGCGCCCCGCCGCGCCGACCCCTTCGAGCTTCGTTGGCAGGTCGGCGGGTGCGGGCGCGGCGCGCCTCCCTCGCCCCGTCTCCTCACCTCGTCCGCCTCCTCCCGCGCCATCCTGTTCCGTTCCGCTGCCCAGGCTCCTGTGCGCCATGGGCCCGCGGCCTGCTGCTCTGGAGTTCCGCTGTGTGGGGGGGCCCACACGGCAGGAAGTGAACAAACGCGGCAGACGCTGAGTCGTAACCATGGAGAGGGAACGAGACGAGCACGTACGGAACAACGACCAGCGAGCGAGATGGAGAGGTAGAGAGAGGGGGGGGGGCCACAGAGAAAAAGAGAGAGAGAGAGATGTGTGTGTGTGTGTATGTGTGTGTGTGTGTGTGTGTGTCTCTCTCTCTCTCTCTCTCGAGAGAGAGAGAGAGAGAAACAAACAAATATAAAGAAAGAAAGGGAGGGATAAAGAGAGAGAGAAAGAGAGAGAAAGAGAGAGAGAGAGAGGAAAAAAAAGGAGAAAGAGAGGGAGGGAGGGAGAGAGAGAGAGAGAGAGAAAGAGAGATCGGGGATTGCCAGGGGCGGTCCTGGCCCTCTGTGCCCCCAATTGGACGCTCCACTTGGGAGCCCCTGGGGCCCGCAAGGCCCCCGTGAGGGGGTGCTCTGGGCGCCACACAGGCCTCTCTGAGAATCCTGGGGGCACCTGGTGCAGGGGCCGCCATCGGCCGGCAACAACCGAAGCGAGAGACCCAGACATGATCGCGTCGTAAAGAATCAGGACGGCACATGTTCCGCCATGTTCGGCCCTGGGGGGCCCTCGCCGGGCCCCGGGAGAGTCAAAAAACGACTCGGGATGAAAAACCGGCCCAGGGGAGCGGGTCTGGACTTCGACCGGGGGCGCCGTCCGGAAAAAATCAGGACGTCGCATGTCTGGGGAGGGGGGCAGGGAGGCCGGGCCGAAGGCCTGACGCGGTGAGCAGCGAGGCCACCAGCTGCGCCGAGCCGCCGCTGCCCTCGCCTGGTGCCCCCGGAGGCTGAAGAGGCAGGCGGCTGGCTGCACAACGGGCGCCCCGCCCCCTACCCTGCACCTCTGTCTCGCTACCAGTATGTTTCTCTCTCTCTCTCTCATTCTCTCTCTCGTCCTCCCTCCCTCCCTCCATCATTGTTTTGTTCGTTTCTCTCTCTCTCTCTCTCTCTCTCGCTTTCCCTCTCGCTCTCCTTCCTTCTCTGTCTCTGTGTCTCTCTCTCTCTCTTTCTCTATTTATCTCTTCTTCTTTTTTGTTCTCTCTCTCTCTCTCTCTCTCCCTCTCTCCCTCCGACTCCCTCGTTCTGCATGTCTTTATTGCTCCTTCCCTTTCACGCCATCTGGATACTAGTATCCTCTCTCCCCTGAAGATGTTCTGAAAGCATTCGCCCCCCTGTCCGTGTCTTGGTTTACATCGGATTTGCGCGAATGGACATTCCAAGTGTTTTTCCCCAACCATCCTGTGGAGTTGGGCCCTCGTTTTGAAGAGACGATGCCCTGCGTCTCCTCTCCTTCCTCCTCCCCCTCCTCCCCCTTCTTTATCCCAGCCGTCCTGTGGTGTTGGGTCCTCGTTCTGAAGAGACAGCGCCCCGCGCTCCTCCTCTCCTCCTCGCCTCATCCTCCTCCCCCTCCCTCCTCCCGTCACCCCTCTCACTTTGGCGCGCCCCTCCCACGCTTCGTGACCCCTAAGGAGCTCCACCGAAGGTCCCCGTGGCGCAGCCCGCACGCGTCCCCGCCACCCATTTCGGCACACCCCTCACACGTGGCGTGGCCCCATAGGGACCTCCACCGAGGGTCCCAGTGGCGCAGCCCGCATGCGTGCCAGCCACCCATTTCGGCACACCCCTCGCACGTGTCGTGGCCCCATCGGACTGGGCAGTTGCCCAAGGATATGCCCTCGAACCGAGCAAGGTCCTCGCACTTCGGGTTGTCGTGGATTTGATTCGCACCGCGAACGGGCCCATCCAATTCCCCCCCTCCCATCCTCCATCCCTCTGCGAGACCCCGGCTCACTGGGTATCGAACTCGACCCGAGGGATGTGAAGTCGTCCGGTCCAGTCCTGTCCGGCCAGAGCCACGCCTCTCCGAATTACGAAAGGGTGCCCTTCCTTCACACCCTGCCCTGCACTTTTCGGGGGCAGAGCTCGACCGCTGGACGGGAGCCCTGTCGGGCAAGGAGAAGGCGCTGGCCTGCCTCTTCCATGCCCCCTTCCCCCTCCTCGCGGAGCGCGCCTCCCCGTCATGGCTGATGCTAACCCGAGCCAGTCCATCCCTGTCGGCGCTCCTGTCTTAGCCCATGTCCCCCCTGAGGCCCCCGCCGAAGCCGCACACCGCGATCGAAGGTGGCCGCGTGGCAGCTTCCGCTGCCTGAGCCCGCGCGGGGGCGGCGGGGCGGCGGGGAGGGCAGAGCAGTCGGATCGACGGCGCGAGGAGAGGACACCACACCCCTCAGCGAAATCTGGCGCAAGCTTCTCCTGCAACGCGTGAGCGGCCCCTGATCCCCACACTCCAATGTTGACTTCAGACTTCTCCTCGGAGCCCGCAGGTCCTGTTGCGGCCCTGCCACACACGCTTTTTGGCAGCGGCGGCTTGGGGCAAGGTGCGGTCGGCTGAGACTGGCGGCCCGACCTACCTAACTGGCACCCAGGAACGAAGCAGAGGAAGGAGGAGCGGCCGCGGAGGCAGAGTGAAGAGGGAGCCCCCCGCTGAGATGTCTTCCTGGGCTGTGCCAGCGGCCAGTCGGGCGGACCAGCCACAATTAAGTCGGGCGTGTCCCCCTACAGGGAGATTCTGGGCGAAAAATTAAACATACGCAAAAAATGCCCCCCGAGTGGGCAAACATAATCCAAAAATCGTCCCCTGACTATTTTGTGACTACTTTTGAGTATTCCCCCTGTAGAGGGACAGGCTCGACTTCAAGCTACAAGCAGGAGCGACCCAAGGCAAGAGACCCTTGGTGCGCATCTTCAGCTTTCTGACCGCTGCATGCGCTGCGGCACTGGCGGCCTGCGTGCCTGCGCCTGCCCAGCCCCTCTGCGAGGGCGCGAGGCCGGAGTCTGCAGGCTGCCGCTGCCAGGGGAACCGACCCCCCCGGACCCACGAGGGGACGGTGGATGCGGATCCATCTGGGCCGAGGGCGGCGGGCATGTACAGTAAGGTCGGGCGTGTCCCCCCACAGGCGGATCTTGGAGGACAAATGCAAAATGCCCCCCGAAGACATGCAACAATTGTCAGAACATCGTCCCCAGACTATTTTTGGACTTTTTTTGAATAGTCCTCCTGTAGAGGGAGAGGCCCGACTTGAATGTACAGCCACCGCCCCGCGCCCCCCGGGCGCCGCGCACCAGAGGTCCCTCCGGCAGTCCTTGCCTGGCCACTGGCCCCTCGCGCCACTGCAGCCTCCGGGGCGGCCAAAGATAGAGGCCTCCTAGATAGGGTCGGAGTAGATGGGGCCGGAAGATCGCACCGCATCGCCGATACATCGGCGATACATCGCCGATGCATCGCCGATGCATCGCAGATGCATCGGCGGCATCGGCGATGCATCGGCGACTCCAGCGTGAAAATCGGGCTCCACATCGAGCCGCATCGCCAACACTGCGCGATCCTCCGATCCCATCTACTCGGACCCCATCTAGGAAGCCTCGAAATGATGCCGGCGGCTGCCTGCCCCTCTCCCGGCGGGTGGCGCAGCGGGACCCCCCTCCGCCACCGCCAGGGATCAGGCTTCCCAGAGGGTTGCTCCCCAGACATGATCGCGTCGTAACAAAGATCAGGACGGCAAGCGTTTCGCTATTCTCGGTCCCTGGGGGCCCTCGCCGGGCCTCGGGAGTGTCAAACAACGACCCAGGACGAAAAGCCGGTCCTGGGGAAAGGGTCGGGACGTCCGGGGACGCCGTCTTGAAAAATTCAGGACGTCGCATGTCTAGGGAGCCCACAAAAGACGCACGCGCCCAGCTATGTACATGAACACGGCCCCTCGATTCGCGAGACCGGCCGCGTTAAACGAACATTTGTGCAATGCGTGCTCTCGAAACCAGCGTGGATTCATGTACATGTACGTCCTTCTTTCGCTCCTGAATGTCTGGGTCCGCCACCGCCAGGGATAACGCTTCCCAGCGGGTATACTCCGGAGCGCGCGGCCGATCGGGGCACGCCGAGTGGACATGCGCCTGCACCGAGCCTGGCCGGGCCCGACTCAGGCCTCGGGCGCGTCCAAGAGGGGGGCGTCCAAGAGGGGGGGGGCGCAAATCATGGCCAGCGGCATGTGCGCGGCCCAGGGGGGGGGCCGGGGACGCAATGAAATACGAAGAGGCGCCGTGAAATCTGGGGAGATATCATGGCCCCCGCCATGACATCCCCCCCTCCCCGGAGCCATCCCCCCCTCTGGGCCGACCCCGAAGGACCGGCAAGCACGCCCTCCCCCCCCTGGCCGGGGAGGCACGTGCACTGAGCCAAGGCCCGAGGTGGGCCTGGCCGGGTCGGGGTGCAGTCGCAGCGTGGCCACCACGAGCTCCTTCGCCGAGGAGCCAAGGGCCCCGTGGGGGTGCCGCCGCCGCGCCGAGAAGGCAGGGACCCACCGCGGGGGGGGAGGGGGGAGGAGCAACGGAAGCAGCGTGCAGCGTGCCAGGCAGGAGCATGCTGGGCCTCGAGCTCAGGACTGGCTCGCCCCGGGAAGCATAAGGGGGAGCACTGGAAGAAGAAAGGTATGCATAATCACAAACTGTCGGAGCTCTCCAGGGGCGGCGCGGGAGGCGCCGCCAGGGGGGTCCAGCGCAGATCCAAGAAAACCCCGAGGACCTCCAACAGGCAATAATTATGTAGTTGCTTATTTGCATGTTTTCTTCTTATCGGAAGTCTGGGGGCGGACGAATGGGGAAAGAACATCGTGGTTGAGAGTGACGCGGAGCAGCAGCAGCAGCAGCAGCAGCAGCAGCAGCAGCAGGGACAGCCAGGGACCGCTGGAGTGGCAGCGCCAGCGACATGAGAGGAGATTAGGGGAGAGCGGGAGGGAGAAGGAAATCGAGACAAGTGAGGGGGGACGAGGAGAGAGCAACCTTGCGAAAGCGAATGCAGATGCGGCTCGTATTCCTGCCCGTTGCGGGGTGGTCCTCTGGGAGAGGGTGAGCGCTGGGGAGCACCCTCCCGCGCGGCAGAACCTGAATTCGGACACGGATATAAGAGGCGAGGAGCAGGTAGAAGACAAGGATACGTGGATGGAGGCGAGGAGCAGGCAGAGACAAGGATGAGTAGAGGGAGGGTGAGGAAGGAACGAAAGAAGGAATGAAGGAAGGTAAGGGAAGAGAAGACTAAGCCGGCTATCTAAGCGTCTCAAACATCCGGTGGCGGACGCGAAAAGTGCGAAAAGTAGAAAAGTGCGAAAAGTGCGAAAAGTAGAAAAGTAGAAAAGTGCGAAAAGTGTCGAAAAGTGTGAACAGTGCGAAAAGTAGAAAAGTAGAACAGCGCGAAAAGCGCGAAAAGTGCGAAAAGTGCGAAAAGTGCGAAAAGTAGAAAAGTAGAAAAGTGCGAAAAGTGTCGAAAAGTGTGAACAGTGCGAAAAGTAGAAAAGTAGGAAAGTGCGAAAAGTGCGAACAGTTCGAAAAGCGCGAAAAGTAGAAAAGTGCGAAAAGTAGAAAAGTGCGAAAAGTGCGAACATGCGAAAAGTAGAAAAGCGCGAAAAGTAGAAAAGCAGAAAAGTGCTAACATGTACAAACAAGTGTGAGAAGGACGAAAGGTGCGAGAAGTACGGAGCAACACAGTGCAACAAGTTGAGAAACGCTAATAGGTGCGAAAAACAAAAAGTCGAACCCTGATAAAACGGGGAACGTGCGTTTGAAACTTGCGATAATAACGAAAGGCAGCAAAGCGGGACTTGCGCGATAAGAGCGAACGTGGAATGAGAAACGCTTTGGGAAGGAACCGCATTTTTAACAGCGCGCAGCGCGAGAAGCAGGACAAGCCGAAAAACAAAGGAGCGGCAGGAGGGGCAGGAAGATGAGGCGTGGCCGTGTTCCACATGTGTTGTTCTTGCGTGTTGCTTGTCCTCGTATGGAGCACGCTTGTTTCTCTTGTCTTTGCTTTTTTTCTAAGTTTTTCGCAATAGTTGCCGAGCGCGTTCGAAAACCTCGATCCTCGATCCTCAAACCTCGATCTTCCAAGTGGTTTTCGGACCGTGCGTAACTTGGGCCTCCAGCGGAAGTCTGGGATGATATTGGGCGCCCCCGAAACCTCTGTGCGCAGCGCGAGAAGGAGGACCAGTTCGAAACGCGCGAATGGTTCAACATATTCTAAAAGAAACACTAGAGAGCGGCAGGAGGGGCAGGATGATGAGGCGTGGCCGTGTTCCACTTGCGTTTTTCCTGCGTTCCGCTTTTCCTCGCACGGAGCACGGTTGTTTTTCTTGTGTTTGCTTTTTTTCTGAGTTTTTCGCAATAGTTGCCGAGCGCGTTCGAAAACCTCGATCCTCGATCCTCGAACCTCGATCTTCCCAGTGGTTTTCGGGCCGTGCGTAACTCGGGCCTCCGGCGAGAGTTCGGGATGATTTGGGCGCCCCCGAAATCTTTCGATTAGACGCAGCTGCTGGAAAGCATCCGCCCCGCATGCGACGCGGCAGGAAGCGCGCGTTATGAAGCGTACTTCGTTTCGGGTGTCTCTTGGCATCGGCTGCGTGCTCCATTTTCTCCCCCAGTCCCCCTATCAGCTCCTTCCTGCCGCCTCCCCGCTCCCCCTCGTTTCTCCCCCTCCTCTCCTCTCTACCCTTTCCCGCTTCCTTCCACTTTGCTCGTATCCCCATTCGCCGCATGCCCCCGCAAACCTCCGCACTCCTCCCGCGCCTCCCCATTCTATTCCAATCCCCTTCTCCCGTCCGCGCTCCTCCCCACTGTTGCCCACTCCTCCCCGGTCCTCTCCTTTCGTCTCCGTGCTCCCAACTTCAATCCGCTCCGTCCCACTATTTCACGTTCCTTTCCATCTCCCCCCGCTCCTTTCAACTCCTCCCCACTCGTTCCCTTTCGTTCGCATCATTCCGCTCCATTGTACTTCTCGTCACTCCTTCGCGCTCCTCCCATTTCGCCGCCCCCCGCGTTCCTCCCAACTCCTTCCCGTTCATTCCCATCCCGGTCAATTCCACTACCCCCCGCTCCTTGGCCGCTCTCGCGCTCCTCCTCGCCCCGCTCCGCTCGACTCCACTTCTCTCCCCTGTCCTCCCCGCTCATCCACACTCGCCCCTGTGCACTCCGTGCCTCATTCCTCGCCGCTCTGCTCTAATCTCCCCCGCCCCTCCTTGCCCCACCCTTTTACATGCATATGCGCGCCGTTTCTCAGCGATCATTATTTCACTGATCCCTCTGCTTGCCACCGTTGGCGTT